TTTTCCTTCCTTTAGGTTCCATGCAAATACTTATCTCCTTTTTTACATCATAGTTATCTGATCAGAATACACAACTATATTCAGATTCACATCATAATCAATTAACTTAACTTTATCTTTTCCTTCAATCTTATAACTCTATTACCTTTACTCTGTTAACTAGTCAATAATATCTGTTCAATCTAGGGCACAAGCCCTAGTCAACCAATCATATACATCCTGTAATTTTCGTTGCTCAAACTCAACATTCTGACTTCCTTTGTCTTATAATCTAATCATCGATATACTCATTCTTAAACTCTTCTTATCAATCCTCAGCTTTACTCAATTATACAAATCCTTACTTCCTTTTCCTTTATTATACCACATCACTATGATCCAAATACACAACTGTATCCAGATCCATTTCATATTTGGTTATCATAACCTGACAATATCTTACAATCTTATACTTCCAGTACATTCCCATTACATATTCTTGTTAACCAACGCTAATTTTTTTCATCTTAACTACAAACCCTTATCATAAACATACTCTTGTTTATGCTCCATACTATCACTTCGTTTCAAACTCATAAGCTCGGACTTTATACATCTTATACGCTTGTCACTGATACACTTATTCTTGAACTCTTCTACCAATTCTCATGATCCTTTAATCTTTTAACGCTCTTATGGTGACATTTATTCACCATATTCTATCTTATCCACTAAATAACAAAACGAATCCATATCACCTTTCTAATTCAAAATAATGAAAATTTTCTATTACTATCTAATATGATTTCAACTTTCTGAGATCAACCTTTAATCTTATAAGACATTTCTGAGATTTCCAATCTTCATCCTGTCTGGCCAGGGCAGTGAATGCTATTCATCAGATTTGTCAGCTATCGATTTACTTTACTTTGACAATTCCTTAATTCATTCCTACTATTCTTACAAATCTTATTCTATTAGCAATACAACATACTCCTTACACTATCAGATCAGAATTTTTCACTTTTAGATGGCATGTACACATTTTTAAACCTCATTTAATTTCGGTTTAAGCCTAGAATCGGCTAAACCTTAGCTTGATACCAAATGTAACACCCCCCAACCCGAATACGAGTCTGAGATGTCACATTGACCGTTCAAAACGTTTACTTTGACAAAATTCAATGAAATTCAGTTAGACATTTCCACTAAAACCCAAATAATTTCTATTATAAAAACATATGATTTTACAAATTGATCAGAGCGTTTCCAGTACAAATCTTTTATCTTACATGCCAACTACATTCATATGACAAAATACATAATTTAAACCTATATCTGATCTGAATGTGGAAAGGAGAATTTGACCTGTTTCGCTCCTCTAAACTTCTCTTCTTGTTTTCCAGAACTACGTGTGAAACAGCAAGCTAAGTCTATAGGATTAAAAATTAATACTATTCATGCTTATCATGCAACAAATAATATATCATTTCACTTAATCAAATGACACATCATTCATCATATCAATCATATAATACAATTCATATCACAAAAGAATATAATTTACAAGTAATATATTTTAATTGTTATCTCTTTGTTAGCCTATGTACATCTGTGAGAACTATAGATATGTGAGTCTATTGAGGTTGTGCACTATGCTGTCACCACAGCTCGTATGGGGTCCCACTAGGGGCTATGAATTTTGTCCCGAAGAACCTATGTACTGTATTTGTCCCGAAGGACCACTCCTTAAGAACCATAAAATTTCAATGGATCACATATGTGTCTCACAAGACCCTGTAAATTCCAAAGAATACATATATATCCCGAAGGACCATAGAACCATCGACTCTTGGCATGCCAACTATACCTCTAGCTCTCTTTACACACATGGGCATTTCACTTATATCATTTCACATATACATTTTCATCACCTGTTCATATAAGCTCATAGCTTCTTTCATATAATGTAGACATATAGCTTTTTTTTCATGTAATTCATATCACTTTTCATAAATTTCACATGTTCACATATAACACCTATGACTATATTCATGCATGAATAATAATCATATCACCCATATTAATATTCATAAAATCTTGTAATCAAATGTTGGAAGTAGACTCATCGTGAGTCTTTTTCCACACACATCATATACTAATGCATATGCACTCACCTTGGCCTCACTAAGTTTCCATCCACTTTTATGCTTTCATCTCTTTCGATCGAATCTTAACTTGATAATCGTTTTGGAACTTGTTCGTGCTCGATATCTATATAATCATACATTGATATATATCATTATTCAATTGATATACGATAATCTATCATTTCTTAGACCAAAAGAAAGGTTTATTTTAATTTCCCCTTGAAGTGCATCGATGCATTCTACAGTGCATCGATGCATTCTTTAACATGTGCATCGATGCACTACCCATGCATCGATACACAAATTACCTTCGATGTTTTCATTTTAAGGGGATGCATCGATGTAATCCTTATGCATCGATGCACCAATTGCATTCGATGTTTCTTCTTTAAAGAGTGCATCGATGCACCTTGAATGTGCATCGATACACCTTGCCCAGAATTTGCATTTTAAGCCCGAAAATCATCAATTCTTCATTCAATTCTTCTATTTAAGCCCCTATTATGTCATTAAATTCCACTACCATTACTTAAACCAACTTATATCCATGTAAACCATATTTATCTTCCATATCTCATCATGATTCTTAAAATTTAAGTATCTTACTAAACTTTCAACTTTGTTATTAATCCTTTCTAACTTCATATATCTCTTATTCTTAGTGATGACAAGTCAAATTCCTTCTCAAATTTCACTTATTAACTCTTTTCCAAAAATTCATCTAAAAACTCATTTTCTTTAATCTCTTCTATATCTTTCATCTTGTTGTTTTAGAACAAATTAAGCTTTCCTTAAGCTTAATTATCATCTAATGATCATAACCCAACCTTAAAATCAATAATTAATCAACAAACAAAGAAACTCACCTTTGAGTCAAGCCTTCACGTATGAAAAAAGAAGAAGAGAAGAGAACTCTGGAACCTTTTCTCTCTTCCCACGTGATTTTCTTATCTTATAAGGAAAAAGAAAAATCTTCATTGTCAAATGACCCTTTTACCCTTCAATTCATCTTATAATTACTAGCAACTTTTATGATTTATTTCCAACTAAATCATTGAATTAATCCTTGGTTCTACTATAGTCACCAAATTCTGAAACTTTACAATTTGATCACTAACCTGGTATTGAGGATGTTACACTCCTCCTCTATTAATTAGCTTTGGGGGTCTCAAATAAGATATCAAGGGCACCATGCTTTATTTTTCATTTAAATTATTGAACCTATTTTATTTATTTATTTTCATTTTTAAAATTCCGTCCTACATTAATAACAGATTGTACGAATAATGTTTACAAATATTAATGTATCAATATATTCAAATATGTTGTACACTCCATCATTGTGGAGAGATTCCACTTTAAGATAGGTCATACGTCTGTTTAAGTATTGAGATGAATTACTAAAGACAACGTTATAAATTCTTTTAAAATGGATTGAAATTGAAGTATTGCAAGCGGTGATTTTGAAATTAGTAGTTATTGTACAAATCAAAATGGATAAATTATGTTATTTTCCTAAAGAAGAACCATTTATTTTAGTCTCATATCTTTGTTTGAGTTACTAAGATGCGAAAGGATCCTAATCATTAAATTAGTGTTAATAACACTAATAAGTGGCTCTAGATAAGATATTCCACTCGTGCAAGATGAAGAGATTTAATGAAGAGTCACAGAGAACGCAGAGAATTTTAAGATGGATCAGAAAATAAATCATATGATGGAACAAGATTGAAAGACACACCATGAACCGATACATTCTTCATTGTACAGCTTCCTTTGTTTTGACCATACTGGATCTTCATCTCCAGCCATGGATTCTTGTGGCACTCCACCAAATGCTTTCATGATCTATCTTTTCAAGTAATTCTGTCTTCCCCTCTTTCAATGTTCTTAATTATCCTATCACAGTCTGTAGTATAATAGAACTCAATAATTATTGCAGCACTGAAACCTTGTTCAGAACCAATCTAGGGAAACAATTACCGATTACGAGCCTTGATTGAAACCTTTCCAGACAAGGAAAAAGTTCATCTCTTTTAATGAACTAATGAAGATAAAGAGGAACATGAGGTTCACATTCATTAACCTAAAAAAGAGTGATTTGAATTTTTTTTGATCCAACGGTCATCATCGACATGGCTGATGATAAGTGACAGTAACTGTTGATAATAGTAAACAATGATCGACAATAGAAAATTTTGATGAAGTTAATTTGATATTTTATCTACATTTCAAGGGTCAAATCAATATTATATAAAGTTTAAAAACCATGTTAATATTTTATCCAAAGTTTAGAGATCAAATTAAAATTTAACCTTTTACTAACAAGTCATGTTATCCGACTAACCGATAATTAAAACTCTATAAATTGATAACATAAAAAATTAAAATATTATTATTTTTAATTTAATGATTAAAAGTGAATAGCTGATAAATGAAAGTGACTATTTCGATGGTTTTTCTTTTTTGTTCTTTTTCTACAAAAGAATTTAAACCCCATCAAATTTGGTTTTGCCCAAACATTGGGTCGATATCGGATTTTGCCCACTTCCCCATTAAGCGATCTTATCCCTCCACCATGAGAAATTCGAAATTAACGCCGACAGCTACAAGCCTACAACCACCACTCCTCTAATGTTTTGGTTATTTTTATCGTTACCATTGTCTAGTTCTCCAGCCATCGGCTAAATTTTCAACTTGAAAAGATTCTATTTAAAAATAATAAAATAATGATTTTGAACTCAACTCTCATTCAGTTAAGGGTTCATCCAGTGGCTTCTCTTTAAAAGGACTCTGTATGAATAGTAAACAACTCGTGTTTATGGAATCTTAAATGACTCGTTGTCTAAGTCTGCAGTGATTTGATCGCTCAAATTTCCTCAAAATTTAGTAAACCGTTAAGAAAACATAGAATGTTCCAGATTGCTCTAGGTTCCCGGCACCAAGAGTTCGAATGAGAACAGCACAAAAATATTAACCCTAAAACAGCACTACTGAACAAAAAACAGAGCAAACAAGCAGAATACTAAGATCCGGTCCGCAAAATAATGCAAACATAAAACAGAGAACCATCCAACAAAAGACAATAACATTACTAAAAAAACATAGGCGTCCTATTCATAAACAGAAATCTTAGCAAAACTCAATTGCACTGTTCCAATTTTTCCCCATATTTTGGATCCTGGTGAGAGGCCCTTTACTTGGCCATCATCACTTTGACAAACTCCTCGTAGTTGATCTGTCCATCACCGTCAACATCAGCTTCACGGATCATCTCGTCAACTTCCTCATCTGTAAGCTTTTCACCAAGGTTTGTCATGACATGGCGAAGCTCAGCAGCGGATATAAAACCATTCTGATCCTTGTCAAACACCCTGAATGCCTCTTTAAGCTCCTCCTCTGAGTCGGTATCTTTCATCTTCCTGGCCATCAGGTTAAGGAATTCAGGAAAATCGATGGTCCCGTTTCCATCAGCATCAACTTCATTGATCATATCTTGGAGTTCCGCCTCAGTGGGGTTCTGACCAAGTGATCGCATCACAGTCCCCAACTCCTTGGTAGTAATGCAACCTGCAGCAATGATAAAAATAAATAAATAAATACAATAAAATCAGACTACAATATTGGTTATGAAACAATCAACATGACTAAAAATTCATTCAGCCAAGAAGCAGCAAAGAATTATTGTAATACCTAAAAGGGAGAGAGGAAAAGAGGCACAGTGATAATTTAAGTTTAAAAAGATAGTTTATGATTTTCACGCTTTTCTAATGCCAAAATATTTCTCTCGGCATACACCATGAAGACAAACAGATAACCAAACAAGAACTGGGGAGGATACGAAACATATTTCCTCTGCGCCAAGAATACAGAAAATATGTATTCTATCTAACTTCTTGTTCTACAACAATCAAATACATCACGAAGTTTGCTCATGGATCAGCTAATAATTGCAGAACATGTGATTGCAGAAAAACAATAGTGTATGTCTGCCGGTCAAACTAATTCGATAACCTTCAAAGTTATGATCACAAACAAAATACTTTACTGTTTACTGTTTAGGATTACAAATCACCAAATTAATTGATTGAATTATCCATAGAAGGTCCTGAATTCTCATGACTTGCCAAAACCATCCACATTGTCATCCTAGATTCTTAACAATCAAGCATACTAAGTACAACCATAAAAGCTAATTTGCAGGGTGAAAGAGTGACTCAATGCTTTGCAGCAACAAGCATGTAAACTAATAATGATATAATATTTCATTATAAGTTGAAAATGCAGGATCAATCAAAGGGAATCACATCCAAAATCCAAGGAAGCTTTGCTAATCAGATTAAAAAACTTACACAAAGGGAATGAAATATTTAATCATGATTAAATAACAATTAAATTCAAATAAGCAAACCCCAAGCATAAATAACGCAATACTCACCACATATAAAGCCAATCTAGCCAGGTTATGTTTGCATCTAAAAGATCTAACACTACAAGTCATACAATAAATTCAAAGAGAAGACCGAGAAAGGTCAACAGTAATGAAAATGAAAAAAGACCATAAAAATATAATCCAACGCCATTAAAATTAAAGAAATGAAATATCAATAGACGATCGAGGTCGACTATGAATTCATAAATAGGCGTCCTAGATCCGTCATATCATTAAAATAACAAAAGAAAACGATCGTAAATTAATAAAATTAAGAAAAAATTAAGAATCAGAACGAAAACGAAGCTTAGATATGCGAATCCGAGCTGAATCGAATGAAGAAAATTATTAAACCGCGAGTAATAATTACAACAAAAGAATAAGAAGAAAATAAAAGCGAGATGAGAGAGGACCATCTCCGTCCTTGTCGAACAGGCTAAAGGCCTCCTTGAATTCAGAGATCTGATCGTCCGTAAGCTGATCGGCCATTTTCTTATTCTCTTGAGCTTGTTCTTTTTTTTTCTCGGGAAGATCGGTTTGGATTGAGAGAAAGTAGCGGAGAAAAATGATGAGTGTGTGGAAAATATAGAAGGGGATGCCAGTGCTATATATAGGGCCCATAGTTGGGCCCAACACAAATTAAGGAATCTGATTTTCTCTCCTCCGCTAGCACTTTGCTCGCCTTTTTTTTATTAAAAAATAATATTAATAAACAATTGTACTTTTCTTTTTCTTTAAATGTACATCTTTGAATACTTTTTTCTTTTGCTCCCTCTCCCGTTGAAGAGTTGATGCATTCCTCAACCTCCAATGAAATCAATTTAGGGTTAACTGTATAAGAAGTCCTAAAAGAATTTAGGTTTTTATTTTATTTTTAAAAGTTAAATCCTTTATTTAAACATTTAGCTATTCAAAGATAAATATAATTTTTAAAATACAATTCATAAACTATATAGGTAAATTACAACATCAATCACTGATTTATTGTCTATTTTCTTTGTTGCCAAATTATTTTTTTACTACAAATAAGATAAAATTGACAAGAGAACAGTAATAAAATAAGTACAGTTATTTCAACATCAGAATTTAGATTGAATATTTTATTAAAATGAAATCATTCTTAAATTTTTCATAAAGATTTGATTCTCTTAATTTTATTTATAAAAATAACACAAAAACGTTCATCAGGGTTTTATAATATCACCTAAAATAATATTCGTTAGTATCTGAATATTATTTCATAATTAAATTGAAAGATATTAATGTTCTAAATAACTTTTAAATTTATCAAAAAAAAACTTTTGAAACTTATTATTTTAATAAAAAGCCTCTATTATAATTACCGGACTCATAATCTTATATAAAAGGGTAAACTACATTTTTAGTGCCTAAACTATTACTTTTGTTCTATTTTAGTACTTATTTTATTTTTCCAAAATTATGTCTAACATTTCGTTTAACTTAGGTTTCATTTTGGTATCCCGCCGTTAAAACTTAACAATGATGTTGATATGTCGCCGTAAGAAAATACCACGTCCTCATTTAAAAAATCTAAGAAAAATGACACATCAACACTTCTACTAAGTTTTTAACGGCGATGCATCAAAATAAAACCAAAACCAATTATTAAGTATGGTTTTGAAAAAAAAATAAAATTTAGGTACTAATATGAAATAAAAGTAACAGTTTAAGTATGAAGCATATAATTTTCCCTATATAAAATGTGTAAAATTTATAATTTTTTAAATACCATTTGAGTCGAAAAAAATGAAGTCTTTAAATGAAAATGTGGTGATAGCGTGTGTATGCTGCGTATGCATTGTTGTTGACGCGTAGCGGACTAAGGATGGGACCCTACAAAAGCGCGTGGGTCAAAAGGTGGAAGAAAAAGAAGCAGTTTTAGATTTTTTTAATTTTGTGATTTGTCTCACTTCGAATTTCACTATCCTCTATTCCAAACAAAGATATTTTCTGGGTAACATCAATGTCAAGTGATTAAATCATTTTTAAGTTTTATATAAAAATAAAAATAAATGTGTAATTACATATTTTCGAAAGAGTAATTAAAGATATTATAAAGTGAAATTCAATATTTAATCTATTAATAAAATAACAAAAACATAATTTTATAGCCAAGTAATAAATAATTAAAAATGATAAAATAGATACCTAATTAGAAGAAATAACATAGAGAAATATATTATTGTAATTATCTTATATATGTACAGTATAGTTATATTATTTTTCGGATTAAATTATGTCAATACTTTTTATCATAAATCCAAAAAAAACCGATTTAAATTTCTAATTTTCTTTTAAATCTCAACCTAATAAAATTGGATGAAACCAAAACCCGTCAAATTAGAGACCAGTGTACATCCCTACTTTTGTGCGATATAAATTGGGCCACGTTCTCAAAGTTTTCCACAGCTTATTGTGCATGGAGTAATGTTGACATAAATGAAACCATCGAATGAGCTTGTTCATGGTTTGTTCGGCTCAACAATAAATAAATAATATAATTTAGAGATAATATCATAATCGGTACCAATACTTTAACCAACTATCTAATGCTATAGTTGTATTTTTAAAATGTTTAATATAGTACTTATCTTTTAATCAAATGTTTAATATGGTACTTGTGCTTTGATAAAACGTGTACTGTAATAAATATATTATTGACGTCTACTGTAATAAATATATTATTGAAATAGTTTGATATTTATACTTTGTCAAAATATTCAATATCATACATGAATTATCATTTTGTGTTTTATTGTCATACATAGATTAACACTGTTAATAATGTCGTAACTGAATCATCATTTCGTGCGTATTATGATATTTGAGTTAAAATTGTTGGTAGATGTTAAATCAATTAATGAAAAATCGAAAGTACTATAATGATACACATAATAATAATTCAAGAACAACAATAAATATAAACAAGATATTGTTTTTATTAAATATCACATAATAATAATTCAAGAACAACAACAAATATAAATAAGATAATAAAAAAATCAAATATTTCATAATAAATGTTAAGAGTGAAAAGAATTAATAAATCAAATTTGAGTGGTGAAAAATTAAAATCAAAATTTTGTTGTAAATTTGTCAGAGATTGTGACTTAAATTTCATTAGTTTAGTTCGAAAAATTTATGATACAACCCGTTTGGTGAATAATTTTTTTAGAAAAAAAAAATGTAACGAATACAAAAGCTCACGGTAAAATTTTATGATGACAAACTTTTTTTTTTTGGCTTCTCGGTTCTGGAGTTTTATCTTGATTGACCTGTGTCGCGCATCTGGTTTTGGAGGGTCTCCCAGCAGAATTTTTCTGCATACACAATGACTCAAATTCGAGACTTTACTTAAGCGATATTAAGCTGCTTACCACTTGAACTAACCATGTTGGTATGATGACAAACTCTTTATTTGCATTAATAAAAAATATTTTTGATATAATTTCTTATTTAAAATAAAACTGATATAATTATATAGTTTATTATATTTAATATTTTTAGAATTTAAATTTCGTTATTCTACAAAAACTTTAGTGTGGTTAACAATGAATTTCATATTAAATTATAGGGTAAATTATATATTTAGTCACCTAATTATTTTTGTGGTTCATTTTGATCACTCAACTATTTTTTTCCAAAAGCATACTTAAAGTTACGTTTTGGTAACCCACTATTAAAAAACTAGTGGTGATGTTGACGTGTCACCATAAGTAATGACATGTCATCATTAAAAGAATAAAAAATATCATGTCAATAATTCTGTGTAATTTTTAATGACTGATGATCGAACAAAATAAAAATGTAACTTTATGTATGCTTTTGAAAAACAAATAGTTATATGACTAAAACATAACCGCGAGAATAGTTGAATAACTAAATACATAGTTTGCCCTAAATTATAATAGTTAATGCCAAATGATTTTCATTTTCAAGTTAGCCCAATATAATCAAACTTTTCTCTTGTTGGAACATTAACCAATGAATAAGATAAGAGATAAGAGCACTTATTACTTGTAAAGACATTCCTGATTTGAATTTGAGTTGTATAACGATTTTCGGAACAGAACCTTTATATGCCGATGAGCTTACCGAAGGCATTGGTCAGCGGATTGCCTTTGTGGTAACTTCATGGTTATCGTTATATAAGTTTCTGTCATGCCCGTGGCTCCCAAGTCTTCAGAACTTGATTATGGCAATTACGATTTCAGGTTGCAGATTCACAGAAAAATGCAACATCGCAGCCAATCTTGCAGTGGTTGAATATGACAATGAAAATCTAGAGCCACCAATATTATCTGTTGAAGAGGCAGTTGAGAGATGCAGCTTTTATAAGGTCCCTCCTCCCTTTTATCCTTAACAGGTCGGCGATTTTTCAAAAGGAATGGCTGAAGGTGATCACCAAATTCTTGATGCTCAGACATGTTCCTATTTTATTCGTTTGCTGTTCGAGTGACGACCTCGGAAATCTATATTTATTTAGCATTCTTTGTATAAATTTAACCATACTACACTTCCTATTGAGTCATTACTTACCAGGGAACTAATGATAAACTTTTATCATGGAAAACCTGTTGATGTTCGGTTAAATTGTTCCATCTAGATCAAACTTGGGTCACAATACTACTTTTATATGGAGACTCAAACCTCTCTTGCCATCCCGGACGAGGACGATTGCATGATTGTATACAGTTCTACTCAGTGCCCCAAGTTCGCTAACAATACAAAAGCTGCATGCCTCGGTGTTTCCGGCCATAATGTTTGAGTAAAAACTAGAAGGCTCGGAGGAGGATTCGGTGGAAAGTCTGTAAAATCCATGGCAGTATGTTCCTTTCTTCTTCTTCTTCTTTATACTTGTTTATTGTTCATCTCTATCCAATTCATCATATTATGCAAAAAAGAAAGTAAAGTTCATTGCAATGCCTCTAATTGAATATATCTTGTTCCATTATAATTTATATCCTATTTTGTTTTTCCATATATTGAAAGGTTGCATCAGCATGTGCAGTAGCTGCTTATAGATTACACCGTCCGGTTCGAGTTTATGTCAATAGGAAGTTTGATATGATAATGTCAGGAGGAAGGCATCCGATGAAAACAACTTACAGTGTGGGATGCAAAAGCAACGGGAAGATTACAGCCCTGAGACTGGATATATTGCTTGATGCAGGAATGTTTGTTGATGAAAGTCCTACAATGCCGAGTCATATGCTAGGTTCACTTATAAAGTATGATTGGGGTGCTCTATCTTTCGATATAAAGCTCTGCAAAACGAACCTTCCAAGCCGAGGAGCGTTAAGAGCCCCGGGAGATGTACAGGCCTCATACATTGCTGAAACTGTAATCGAACATGTTGCGTCCTACCTTTCTATGGAAGTTGATTCTGTTCGAAATATTAATCTCCATACTTACAACAGCCTCAACATCTTCTTTCCGAGTTCTGCAGGAGAACCATTGGAATATACATTACCTTCAATATGGGAGAGGTTGGCCAATACTTCAAGCTTTTACGACAGGACTGAAATGGTTCAAGAATTCAATAGGTGTCATAA